GATTTCAATATAATTCACATAACTACTCAGAATGCAAATAAACATTAAAATTAAAAGTAATCCTGTATTAAAGGGTACTGATTATACTCTTTTTCTGCCTGCTTCACTTACTGCGTACAAACTAAAAGTAGCGGTTTTTCTACGTGCCTAAGAGTCCTGGTGGTGTCATGGTTAAAGCACTCAACTGCTAACCAAAAGAGCAGTTCTAGTCCACCAGTCGCTCTGAGGAACAAAGATGTAGTACTCTGCTCCATAAACATTACAGCCTTGGAAAACCTTCAGGGCAGTTCTGCTCCATCCTACAGGGTCACTATGAGTCCAAATACACTCAATGGCACTGAGTGGGTTTCTAGGTATTAGCATGAATCAGAAAAAAATAAAACAAAGATCTCTGCCCTTGAGCAGCTAGTGATCTTGGATTCAGTTAAGAGAATGATAAGTGAGGAAAATATACAAGTAATCTGTTTTTGCAACTATGTCTGCTCTAAGTCTGACCATTTTTTGTTGTTGTTAAGTGCTGTTGAGTCGGTTCCGGCCTATAGTGACCCTGTTAAGGGTTTCTGAGCTTGAATTGCCAACCTTGTGGATCAAACCGACTTTGCAGTCCAGTGCATTAACCCACAATGCCACACCAGGACTGCAAGTCTAACCGAAAAAATATATAACTTCTGTTACGTCGTATGAAAACTGAAAGTAGAGGGGAAATATTTAAAGTTTTTTTTATGAGTTTTTGCAGTCTCTGGGTGTCACAATTGGTTAAGCACTTGACTACTAGCTGAGTTTGGAGGACAGAACCCACAGAAAGGTCCCTTGGAAGACAGACCTAGCAATTAGCTTCCCAAAGGCCTTGAAAATCCTAAGGAGTGGTTTTATTTTGCACACATAGAGTTGCCACTATTTAGAATTAAGTACAAAGCGACTAATGTTATTGTTATTAAGTGCCATTGAGTCGGTTCCAACTTCATACCAACCCTGTATACAGGGTTTCTAAGTAGCAGCTGGTGAGGCTGAACCGCCAACCTTAAAGTTCAAAACGATCTTGCAGTCCAGCGCATTAACACGCAGCACACCACACCAAGACTCCATGCAACTAATAGCAAAAAGAAATGTGCACTTTAAATTAGCACCATAAAGTCTACAAAACTTACTTCTTCAAAGAGTCAATAGCCAATAAGCAATTAAACTGTGTCTGAAATAGTGTGGGCCTGCCTTATTTTGGCAGTTTGGCTCTTCTGAACATCTGCAAGATAAGTACTTCTATACAAACCACAGGCTGTTTTAACAATCAAATGACAACCCACAAATTTCACATCATTTACAGCAAGACAATGCTCTAGATTTAAAAACCAAAAACAAAACCCTAGTCAACGGATACGACTTAAAATGCAGTATATATTCAAAGTATTTCTAGTAACTGGCATGTGAGCTAACTGACAAGTAAGTTAACTGTTAACTGTACATTATACTGTTTGTGGGTCTAACTCACACCCACCCTCTCTAGCGTTTCTGAAGATGTAAATCTTTGTAGGAGCAGAAAGCCTCATCTTTCTCCCGTGGAGCAACTAGTGGACTCACACGACTGACCTGTGGTTAGCAGTTCAGTGCTTATCCTACAGAGCCACAGAGCTCCCACTTAACTGTTTAGACTGTCCAATATGGTAGCCACTTATGGTGTGGCACTGTAGAATCAGCACTGGACTTCAAACTACAAGATCAGCAGTTCAAACCCACCAGGGGCTCCTCGGAAATCCTATACATGTGGCTACTGAGCACATGAAAAGTGGATAAGCTAAGCTGAGATATCGGTTACTGCAAATTGTTGTTATTAAGTGCCATGGAGTCGGTTTCAACTCATAGCAACCCTGTATAGGGTTTCCAAGGAGCAGCTGGTGGGTTTGAACTACAATTACACACTAGGAAAAAAGAATGCAAGGTATCCATTAATTTTTTTATTATGATTGTATAAAACACGAAAACATTCTGAGTATTGAGTTGAAATACATTAAATTTCATTTCTCACCTTTTCTTTTGTGCCTTTTAAATGTTGGCCACTAAAAATTTTTTAATTAACCTGATTTGTATTGTATTTCTTATGGATGGCACCGGTTTAAGATGATAGAAGACTTTGAAATACGCACATAAAGTTAATATATGCAATGTGTACCAGATTATTCATAAGAACTTTATACTCAGGTCTTTATTCATTTACTTAGTTTAAATTGTTCTGTATCTTATATACCAAAACATCAAACATACACCCAAGTTGGAAGACCTGTTGTGCCACTACAGGATAAGCACCACACTGCTACCGTGAAGACAGCAGTTCAAACTCACCAGCCACTTCTTGGAAACCCTATACAAAAGTGATATGTGTTGGAACCGATTCAACAGCATTTAAAAACAACACTATGACAATAAAAGAAGCCCTGGTGGCACTGTGGGTTATATGTTGGGCTGCTAACCATTTGGCTTAAACTCACCAGCTGCTCCTCAGGACAGCACCTAACAACAACAATGACACTACAGAAAGCTTCAAAAAGTCTGTGGAAAAATTATATTATCTTCTAATGCCATTTGTCCAAAAATTTTCTGAAACCCCCTCGTATATAAAGAAGAAATTGAGGCAGAGAGAGGTTAAGCAACTTGCTCCAAAGTCCCATGGCTACTAACCTGTGGAACCAGAATTCTAATCCCGTAGGCCAAATCCAAAACCACCACACATTTTCCCAAGAGAAAGAACTATCCAAAAAGATGATGCTGTCATACAGGACTAGGCTTTAGTTGCGGGTATGCATCCATTGCAGAAAAATTCAGAGCAGAAGGCGTTAGCCCTTGGCTTCCTACTTTCTACCGGCACTCTTCTCAATGGCAGAATGAAGTTGACCGCATGAATTAAGTCCCTCATCTTACTATAAATTTGTTCAACACTCCCTTTTCCAGAAAGGCCCTATCCTACCTCTCTAGCTCCATTCCAATTTGTCCTGAAGACTTTATCTTAAATACCATCTTCTTGCAATCCTCCTCAAAGGTCTCCTCTGAGACTAGTCATTCACTTCTGTCCCTTTGCTGACCCCCTTTGGTAGCCCTTTTCATATGCTACACAGTGATAGCTCTCACTACATTGCTCCTCAAGGTGGTTCCACTTACTCCTAATACCCAAACCAGTGCCTAGCATTGTTGTTGTTGTTAAGTGCCGTCGAGTCGGTCCCGACCCATAGCGACCCTGTCTGTACAGGGTTTCCGAGGGTGTAAATCCTTACGGGAGTAGAAAGCCT